CTGAGGTATGGAAGACAGCAGACGTAGTCCCAATTTATAAAAAGTGAGACAGACATGAATCATTAAACTGCAGACCAGTGTCACTGACATGTATATTATGCAAAGTCGTGGAGAAGATTATGAGGAGAAGAGTGGCGGAGCACCTAGAAATGAGCTTATCAACGACAGCCAGCACGGTTTCTGGGACGGGAAATCCTGTGTCACTAACCTACTGTAGTTCTATGAGAGGGTGACAGCAGTAAAACGAGAGACAGGGGTGGGTAGATTGCGTTTTCTTGGGCTGTAAGAAGGCGTTTGACAGTTTCATACAAGAAATTAGTGCAGAAGCTGGAGGACCAGGCAGGGATAACAAGGAAGGCACTGCAATGGATCAGGGAATAACTGTCAGGAAGATAACAGTGAGTGATGGTACGTGGCGAAGTGAACATCAAAATGGTATACAATACCGACAGGTTGGTAGGTAAGACACATAGGCAACAGTTAGGCAACTTTATTCCGAAACGTTTCGCCTACACAGTAGGCTTCTTCAGTCGAATACAGAAAGTAGGCAGGAACAGTAGAGATGTGAAGACGATGTAATCAGTCCATCACCCTTGAAGTCGTAGAATTTGTTGGATCTGAGAGGGACATGACCTCTCAGTGGCTACATTCTCACTACTACTACTACTACTACTCTGCACCTCTCCTTCCGACAGTATTTAAGCCTCCGCACTGTCGCTTGGTCTTCAGATAGTTCCTGACTATGGAACTGAACTTCTCCAGGCTGAGGGACTGACAACCTCATATTCTACGACTTCAAGGGTGATGGACTGATTACATCGTCTTCACATCTCTACTGTTCCTGCCTACTTTCTGTATTCGACTGAAGAAGCCTACTGTGTAGGCGAAACGTTTCGGAATAAAGTTGCCTAACTGTTGCCTATGTGTCTTACCTACAAACGTGGCGACGTGTCAGAGTGGGCGCCTGTGACGAGCGGGGTTCCACAGGGGTCAGTCCTATGTCAGGTGCTGTTTCTGGTATTTGTGAACGGCACGATGGAAGGAATAGACTCAGAAGTGTCCCTGTTTGCAGATGATATGAAGTTGATGAGAAGAATTCAATCGGACGAGGACCAGGCAGAACTACAAAGTGATATGGACAGGCTGCAGGCCTCGTCCAGCAACTGGCTTCTGAAGTTCAACCCCACCAAGTTCAAAGTCATGAAGAATGAGGAAGGACAAAGAAGACCGCAGACGGAGTACAGTCTAAGGAGCCAGAGACTACAAACCTCACTCAAGAAAAAGGATCTTGGGGTGAGTATAACACCTGGCACATCTCCCGAGGCGCACATCAACAAAATGACTGCTGCAGAATACGGGCGCCTAGCAAACCTAAGAACAGCATTCCGACATCTCAGTAAGGAATCGTTCAGGACCCTATATACCGTATATGTTAGGCCTATTTTGGAGTATGCTGCACCACTTTGGAACCCACACCTAGCCAAGCATGTAAGGAAATTAGAGAAAGTTCAAAAGTTTGCAGGAAGACTAGTCCCAGAGCTAAGGGGCATGTTCTACGAGGAGAGGTTAAGGGAAATCGACCTGACGACAACACTGGGGGACAGGAGAGATAAGGAAGATATGATAACGACATATAAAATACTGAGAGGAATTGACACGGTGGACAGAGACAGGATGTTCCAGAGATGGGACACAGCAACAAGGGGTCATAGTTGGAATTTGAAAACTCAGATGATTCACAGGGATGTTAGGAAGCATTTCTTCAGTCACAGAGTTGCCAGGAAGTGGAATAGTCTGGGAAGTGATGTAGTGAGGCAGGATCCATACATAACTTAAGAAGAGGTATGATAAAGCTCATGGAACAGGAAGAGTGTTCTAGTAACGACCAATGAAGAGGCGGGGCCAGGAGATGTGACTCAACCCCTACAAGCACAACTAGGTGAGTACACACACACGTAGCCAGGAGCTGTGACTCGACCCCTGCAACCACAACTAGGTGAGTAATATGTAAGTACTCACACCAAAGTCAGTGTCAACGATCTGCCTTCCTAGTACACTGCCTCTCCTGGGGGGGAGGGGTAAAGTAGGATGGAAACTAGGAGGGAGGAAGCAGCAAGAAGAAAGAAGGAACAAGGAAGATGGATGAAAGAAATATGTGAGAGAAGAGTGGCACAGAAACCAAAGAAATGCTAGGAAGAAGGAAGCCAGGAAAAGGAGGGAGATATGGGAGGCGGAGGGAGAGACTGAAGTGGATAGAGGGAGAGAAAGATAGGAGTGGAGAGTGAAGGAGGGAGGGAGACAGACAGAAACAAAGCCTGAGTTAGGATTGAGTAGGAGGGTTAAGGAAAGGAGGAGGAGGAGGCAGAGTAAGAGTAGGGGGAGGAGAAGAAAAATCAGTGTAAGGAGAGATGAACGATCAATGGAGACAAAATGAAGAAGAATGGTGAACCAGGTGAGAGAATATTATGCAAATGATAACAAGTCACCGTAAAGGTCTGGAGGGAGAGAAGGAAGGAGGAAGGAAGGGAGGGATGGAGGGAGGGAGGGAGGGAGGGAGGGAGGGAGGGAGGAAGGGCAGACATAGTGGAAATGAAGCAAGGAAGAAATAATTATATAAACGAGATAAAATCAGTTGATTAAATGAAAATGCTGGCTCACAGATGACTCCAACTTCATCCTGTTCCCTACTTGTATGTCTCATAACAATAAAAATGCATTCAAATGAGCTGATGTAGGTAACAGCTCTTATCTTGTCAATAAAGTTAGGGATCCTTAACCTTACCTTGTCAAACCTTGTGTAAGAAGACAAAATAAAAAGGACTGTGGAAGGGAGGGAAAGAGGGATGGATGTGTAAAGAAAGGAGGGGTACAGGGATCTGGAAGGGGATAGTGAAAGAGAGGGAAGGAAGAAGTGAAGAAAGAACAGGAAGAGTCTGATAGTGGACGGTTGGGAAGACAGGATGGTGAAAGGGGGAGAAAGAATGAGAGAGAGAGAGAGAGAGAGAGAGAGAGAAAGAGAGAGAGGAGAGAGAGAGAGAGAGAGAGAGAGAGAGAGGAGAGAGAGAGAAGGAGAGAGAGAGGAATGGCGAAATAGAGGGAACGAGAGAGAATGATGGAGAGATGGAATTCTGGGGGGAGGGAAAGAGACAGATGGGGCTAGAGAGGAGGGAGGAAGGATGAGGGACTTATTATTATTATTATTATTATTAGTATTAGTATTATTATTAGTAGTATTGTTATTAGTATTATTATTGTGTCGTGTTGGGTACCAGAAGAAATGGTGCCAACATAGCGCAGGTTCATCAGTAAGGTGCCATAACGAATGGTACCATCATGGTGCAGGGTAGTAGGGTGCCAAAAGAAATGGTGCCATCATGGTGCAGGGTAGTAGGGTGCCACAAGGAATAGTGCCATCATGGTGCAGGGTAGTAGGGTGCCACAAGGAATGGTGCCATCATGGTGCAGGATAGTAGGGTGCCACAAGGAATAGTGCCATCATGGTGCAGGGGTCAGAGTTCAGCATTACCACCACTAATGTCCAGTCTTGTGATTGGACATCGAGAATAATAAATTATATAAATATACTGAGAGATGGTAAATAAAAATTAATATATACTCCGTAAACTTAAAAGCTGACGTGGATAGACTGAAGATAATTAAAAAAAGCTGTCGTTGCATTTCAGCGTGTATAACTGTGATGTAATGGAGAGAGAGATTATAGAGGGATAATTAATGCGAAAATATAATCTGATGACTTCGTAACTATAATTATAACAATACATAATAACGAATGTTGGTGAAAGAGGCACATGTAACATTGTGGTATCTTTACTGTGTAAGTGAAAAGTTTTATAAGTCAAGAAACCCAGGTGTTGCACATATGTCTCTCATCCATCGACCACATAAGTGTAATTGTTATATAGAGTCATATGTAACGTCAGCTAACTTTATCCAGTAACCTTTCAGTACATTGCTGAGGACATGTCAAGATATCAAACCATACCCCCGGCCGGGATTGAACCCGCGGTCATAGAGTCTCAAAACTCCAGCCCGTCGCGTTAGCCACTAGACCAGCGACGGGCTGGAGTTTTGAGACTCTATGACCGCGGGTTCAACCCCGGCCGGGGGTATGGTTTGTTTGCAATCGTGTCATTACGATTTCTTGAGTCATGTCAAGATATTATGTGCAACATGTTTGACCTAAGCTTCCTTACGCAACTATAAATGTGAAACAAACACAAACACATCAAAAGAAACACGGATATGTTACACGAAGTGAAAATTCATGGGTGTATAAAATTTATTCTGTGTTAAACAAAATGTGCTACTATTAAGAGTGACTCGAAATTTTTGCATTTAAAAATAAAAGGGGATGTGATAACTACGTATACAGTCATAACTGGATATAGGATAACACGAAGAGGAACTCTTTACGAACTAATAACTGAGAAGACACAACACTGTTATGGAAGAAGCTGTGTAAGAGAGATCACAGGAAGCACACATTTAAAACTGGTTAATAAGAGGACTGTGGGAAGAGTGATGTGAGCTTTGGGAGAGGGAGGAGTGAGCTTTGGGAGAGGGAGGAGTGAGCTTTGGGAGAGGGAGGAGTGAGCTTTGAGAGGGAGGATGGCTTTGGAGAGGAGGAGTGAGCTTTGGGAGAGGGAGGAGTGAGCTTTGGGAGAGGGAGGAGTGAGCTTTGGGAGAGGGAGGAGTGAGCTTTGGGAGAGGGAGGAGTGAGCTTTGGGAGAGGGAGGAGTGAGCTTTGGGAGAGGGAGGAGTGAGCTTTGGAGAGGGAGGAGTGAGCTTTGGAGAGGGAGGAGTGAGCTTTGGGAGAGGGAGATGAGCTTGGATAGAGGGAGGGTAGTTTGGAAAAGTTTGACTTTGAAAGAAGGATAAGCTTGCAAGAGGAGTGTAGCCTGGAAGTAGGTGTGACTTTGAATGAGGTAGGAGTTACCGCTTTGGAGTCTCGCTTGCTTCTCTGCAGAAGGCAGACATACCTTGCCAAGCACGAGCAAGCTCGAACGGAGGCAGGATCTCTAGCTTTAAGCAGGTAGGAGTAAGCTTTGGATAGGGAGAGTGACTTTCGTAGGGCAGTGAAGAGTGGCGGAAGAGGGAGTGACTTTCAGTAGCGGCAGTGATGAGAGGGGGAGTGACCCGCTGGGAAGATAAGAGATCGGGGGGTAGTGAAAGCTATGATGAATTAAAAAAAACTGCAATCACGATTTACCCTATGGTACGTTAAAGGAATCCGTTCTAGTCTCTTCTCTCACACACCAGAACTACACATACACAGAAATACAGCATGCTACACACAAACACTCTCTATACAAAACAACACCTGCATCCTCCATGCTCATTCTCTTTAAGCAGTATTCACCTGTTTGCTAGCATGCGCTAACTATATCACCCCTATCACTTTAGGGTTATGTCCTAATTCCTTTCTTAACACTGCTCTATGAGGTTATAACCTGATTCCTCATTATTCTTCTTCATCATCTTCCCCTTCTCCCTTCCCTTCTGGTTTCTTTCTTTCCTCTGTGTCGTCCTCTATTCTTATCCCCTCCCCCCCTTGGTCCTTGCTTTCCCTCTGTGGGCACCTAGCTCCCTGTGGGCACCTAGCTCCCTTGTGGGCACCTAGCTCCCTTGTGGGCACCTAACTCCCTTGCAGTGCTCCCCTTTCTTTGTATTTGACTGGCTCCTCCTCCTTACTTCCCCATTACTACTTCCATCTCCGCCACTACTACTACTACTACCAGTACTACTACTACTACTACTACTACTACTACTACTACTACTCTTACCACCACTACCTCTTCCTGCCTATATATACCCGTCCTGCTCTACTTCTGGTTAGTGTGACTTTGTAAATGGTCCAACTCGGGCCGAAACGTCGTCGTAAGCTCCTCTCTTCTATGTGCGGGTTATTTGTGTATCGTTCCAGTCACGGTATTGTGCCTTTTTTTGTTATTCAAAGGAAATAGGGGAAATTGCAAAAGAAAAGAGTGCTCTTAGTTCAGCCAGAGAGTAAAAATACAAGAGAATGGCTAAACTATCAAATGCAAAGGGCAGATGAAAACAGAGAACAGAGCTGTAGAACCAACAACGAATGTGCAAGAGTGAGGAGAGAGGCTAAGTAACAATTTGAGAATGACCTAGCGGCAGAGGCTAAATCTTAACCAAAGCTGCTTTCACAGTCACCTCGAAAGAAAGATAACGAGAAAAGACCAGGAATTCCTTGTGTGATGAGATCGCACGATGAATGTTAAAGTATTATGCGAACTGAACAAATGAATTAAAGAGGTGTTCTCAGTGGAAATTTGCATTAATACACAGCCAAGAGTAAGGGTACATAAACAGGTACTGGGCAATATACACACAACGGCATAACAGGTGATTTTTTCGAGTATGCTGGATGCATCAAAGGTAATGGAACCTGACAAAGTGTCACCATGGATTTTGCAAAAGGGAGTAGAAGCACTGATCAACTAATCAAAATGTACAGGAAGTCAATTGACACAAGAGGTCTGATGAACAGTGAATATACTTTATAAGTCTCAATATTTAAGAAAAGAGACAGAAAGTGTTGACCTACAGACTAGTACCACTGACATGTATACTATGTACGGCAAAGGAGAAAATAGGAGTGGTGGAGCACTTGGAGAAAAGTGGTTTTATAACCAATTACCAGCACGGGTTTAGAGAGGCAAATCTTGTGTTACAAACCTGATGGACTAACAAGGTAACAAAATGAGGTAGGAGAACGAGGGATGGGTGGATATCATATTCTTGGACTACAAGAAGGTATTAATTTTGATGCTTTACCTCAATGGAGCAAAATATTGAGGACTAGGCAGGAATAACAGGGAATATACTACAGTGGTTAAAATACTAACTTAGGGAAGGAGACAGTACATGCATGAGGAGCGATGTTAGACTGGAAAGTGTAACAAGCGAGGTTTTACAAGGAATTGAGTCAAATGAGGACGAGGAAAAGCTACAAAATGATCTGGATTAACAACAGGGCTGCTCAGATAAGTGATTAATTGAATTCAGCTCCAGGAAATGCAAAGTTACGAAAATTGGGGATAGGGCACTTAGACCAAAAACTGAACATATGCTCAAGAGACAAAGGTTGAAGACCTTAATCAGGGAAGTTCTTGGGGTGAGCGTAGTGCCGAGCATATCACCAAAGGCACACATTAACAGAATTACCTCTGAAGCCAATGCTCGCTTAGTAAATCTCCAGGAATGTCAACGAAGTCATTCTTGGCTTTGTATATGATATATGTAAGGCCTGTCTTGAAATATGACGCATTAGAATGGAACCCTTCACCTGATGCAGCATGTTAAGAAGCTGGAAAAAGTGCAGAGGTTTGCAACAAGACTAGTCCTAAAGCAAAGGGAAGTGACTAATAGAGGACAGAAGAATACTAGGAAAATATAATATAAAAAGTACTAGAGAACTTGATAGGAAAGATAGGGATAGACTGAGAGGCGGGAAACAGGTACACGAGGACACTGTTGGAACTTAGACATACAGATGAGTTATAGGGATGAAAGGAAGTTTTTTTTTTTCAGTGTCATGGTGGTCAGAAATTAGAGCAATCTTCATGAAGTAGTTGAGGCAGGCTCCATACATCGTTTAAACAATAGGTATGACAGTGACCTCGAATATAGAAGGGAATTTAGCAAGGAATTGAGATGTATGGCCGGAAGATAAACAACGAACCCTGCAATCATCAATAGGTGAGTACAGACACAGACACACAGACACAGACACACAGACACAGACACACAGACACAGACACACAGCACGACACACACACACACACACACACACACACACACAAACACACACACACACACACAAACACACACACACACACACACGCACACACACACACACACACACACACACGCACACACACACACACACACACACACACACACACACACACACACACATACACTACTCGAGCAAGACAAAAGTTTCCAGGAGCCAGCCGACCGTAAAACACAACTGGGCCTCACGAAACCAATTTGTCTGTAACAATTTAATGCCCCAGGACGCTGTGTAAGGCAGGAGTCACTGGCAGGTCATTCACTGGATAAGATGCACTCTTGTATGACCACTTACTTGTTTCAACAAAATTGGACACAGCATTGCGCTTCTGCCCAATTCTTTGTAACAGTTACATAGTGAAAATGAGAGCTCTGTTTCCTGGTTGATCTCTGACACACGACAGGTAGGTGGCTTCCAGGAGATGATGAAATTTGCCTGAGCTGAAAGACTTCACTAAGGCCTTGAGGGTATCGTTTATACCTTCAGTAACCATGAGAGCTTAAAGATTTCGTTCCTCCAAAGAGGGACTCCTTGGTATGATGAAGGGCTCTTTATCCAAGAAATCTGAGCTATCTTCCCCCCTGAATTCATGCATTGTTACCTTCTGTTCCCTTGGCGCATCGTATGAATGTAATAATAATAATAATAACAATAATAATAATAATAATAATGATAATAATAATAATAATAATAATAATAATAATAATAATAATAATAATAATAATAATAATAATAATAATAATAATAATAATAATAATAATAATAATAATAATAATATTTTGGTTATTACTGGGTTTTATGCTGAGGTTGTGGTTGCGGTTTTTTGTGGTTGTGGTTGTGGTTGTGGTTGTGGTTGTGGTGATGTGGCTTGTGTGATACTGATGCCATGGTAACAACTACACCCCATGTGGATAGTCCTAATTTGCTACTGCTACTTCGTTAATAGATGTTTATATCTCAGTACATGCTACTTCCCTAATGCATAGGCTGACTTGCTACTGTCACTTCCCTCGTTTATATGCCCCTTACACAGAGGAGATTGTCATCCTTACAACAAGAGCATTGGAAATATTTTAGCTTAAAGCGTCAAGTGAGGTACGTTGTGGGTACCAGCGCCTCGTCACTTCTCAGTGCGAGCTCGCAACAAGAACAACAAAGGCCGTATGACTCGTGTGGTAATCCACACCACCAATACCAGAGTTCAATTTCCAGGGTCTTCAAAGGGGAGTTTCAGAAATGCAGACTGTTGTCCTCTTGTTCGCTTGGTGAAAACCTTGGCGAGGTGAAGATTGCCAGAGGTCTCTTATACACACGCAGCTAAAACACGTGTAGAGAGAGAGAGAGAGAGACAGACAAAGACAGAGACACAGATAGACACATATACAGACGCAGGCACACACACACACAGACACACACACAGACACACACACACACACACACACACCACGCACACACACACACACACACAACACACACACACACACACAACACACACACACACACACACACACACACACACACACACACACACACACTCAATGCACAATTTCAAAAGTAGACATGATAGGAGCAAAAGTGTGATATTTCTCAAGACGAAACGTTTCGCTCGCTCAACAAGCCAAAATGTCTTACTCATCAACTTGTCGTTATTTCATACAACTAATATGACAGAGACACCAATAATGGCGGCCAGAAGCCGTGACTCGACCCCTCGCAAACACAACAGGGCTAGTACTAAAGGCAATCCAGCAGTTACATTGTCACGAGTTTCGCTGAGAAGAGAGAGAGAGGAAAAAACTGCACAAAGCTGGCTAAAAACTAGCCCCTGCCAAGCTCGCCCTGACGTTCGCGTTGTTCAATAACTAGAGTTCAAAGTTGGCTCTGACTCGGGGTGGGATCCCACGCAGAGCCCTTGCCTTTTGAGCTCCGGAATGCCGTGTTATTGAAATTGATAAAATTGAATTAGCCGGCCCGGTGGAGATTGTAAATTTGGCCCAGAGCGCGCTCAGCCGAAGATTTCCTCTCACCCCCCCCCCCGTCATCCCCACTTGAACCTTGCAACTGGATTGGACCTTGTTGATCTCTCATCCGCTTCCTCATCTTCCCGTCCTCTCGCTTCTCCTCCTTTTTCCTCTTTTTCCTTTTCATCGTCCTAGCGTGCAGAGTAAACCTTTATTTACAGACATGTTTCGCTCTAGGTAAAGCTTTACTTATAGCAAAACGTGTGTGTGTGTGTGTGTGTGTGTGTGTGTGTGTGTGTGTGTGTGTGTGTGTGTGTGTGTGTGTGTGTGTGTGTGTGTGTGTGTGTGTGTGTGTGTGTGTGTGTGTGGGTGGGTGTGTGTGTGCG